AGTTGTACATTTGCGAGACATTCAAAAAAGTATTCACATACTGTAAAACCTCATCTAGATTATTTGTTTGGACCACAGAGAAACACGTCACAATTCATTTTTGTTAGTGCATTTCCCCCCTATTTTTGTCATATCCCATTCCCCTCCATATTTGGCTTATAATAGTGCATTCATAGATTTTTCAATAACTTTTGAGAAATAAGAGATATGGATATCAAACCTCCTCTAGTTATATAGATTGGAAAATCTATAAATGCACTATAATAATCCTAATGGCAGGGGATGGGGATGTAGCAAAATTCGGCAGGTGACGTCACTTCCATCGAAAGCCTCCTTCTACACCGATTAGGCCGACTTAGTTCTCACTAATGGGGAAGGGAATGGGGGAACATTATTCCTGATGGATAGCCTATGTCCAAATGGCCAACTATTGTATGGCCAGATATAGGATATTACAGCCCACACGGATCTGACAGAAAAACCCAGTGTATCGACTAAAAGAAAAACTGTGCAAACAAATCATTCGATTACAACTCCGATCCGCCCTGTTAAAGACTTGGATCCATTACTGCCTTTCTGGTTTTATTAAAGGGAGTGAGCCCCCCACGGTATGTTAAACATTTTCTATTCCTGGCTTATGCGATGAGACAACAAATCCCAACAAATCCTTTGCCATCTTGACGGTTGTCTTACCTGCTTCTACCTTGCTTTCTGCCCGCTGGTTGTGCTGTGCTGAGACGTTGCCATGAAGCCCGTCTGTAGGTTATACTATTAGTAGGGGTGGGAGAAAAAATCGATTCAGTTAAGTATCGCAATTTTTTTGTTTGACGATTTTTATCGATTTTAGTTAGGTGGGAAAAAGTTACTGCTTTTCTCCAGCAGAGGGCGAAATGTTTCAGTTTGTGGGAAAAAAAATACTTTTATTTATTTTATTTTACCTCTTTTATACTTCATGCAGTTGAGGCTTGCCAGCTCCAGTCTTGAAAAGAGAGTGTAGTAGCAGTTAAAATGGTTAGATATTGCTGCTGAATAAATTTTAAAAACGGACTCACATGTGATGTGGATTTTTTTGGTTTGGTGTTTAAAAAAGCAAACAAAAAATCGCAAAAATTGGCAATATCGAAGAATCGCAATTTAAATCGAATCGGCACCCAAAAAATCGTAAAAGAATCGAATCGGGAGAAGAGCATATCGTCCCAGCCCTAACTATTAGGTTAGGTGAAAAGGCTGTACAATGTGTTACAATGTCATGTGGTTATTCATTCATAACAAACAGCGACACTCTATGCCAGGATGATGGCTGGCCGGTTGGTTGGTTGGTTGGGGACGACTTTGGGTTGTGAGGAAATCAGAGTGAAAGCGAGTTTGGTGGGCAGGACTTGCTGTCTTGATTACAGCTGATTACATGCAGTGTGGTGCGTGTTGCTCTCTGTTGCTTTTAAACATGCAGCAGAGGAGGAGGACACTTGCATGATGCGTTGGCGTATGTCAATATGCACGCCGTTGCAGCAGTAGATTTGACCCCTTATGAAGGCGAGCAAGAAGAGACACATATATTTTGGGCCCGTCCTCAGATATCCATAAGCATGTGTTATTAAATATAATTTGAACGGGCCGGGTCATCTTCTCAATGTGTTCACTCAAGTAACTACTTACTACACTTTTACCTAAAAGCAACTTTCAGTGAATTCCGACGCAGGTCATTTTAAAGCAGGTAAGGGTTAAAGGTTATACATCTGGCATGCGGGCATCGGATATCGAACCCAGTACCTTTTGCGTCTGGGAGTTGCGATACTCTCCAGCAGTATCCGTGTGATGTGCGGTACGAAACCCAACCCTAACCCGCGGAAAAGTCTTTGTAATTAAGTCTCAGCGATTTATCACTGAAGGATGATGACAACCTAGGTTTGATATTAATCACAACATCGCCCCCAGCTGCTTCCAACTGTGCCAAGTTGGCAGCCATTGCTCATCAGCGATGTCACATTAGAGTTGTGTGGCACGGCGACGTGTCATTATTCTCAAATCAGGGGATGGATGCGAGGGCTTGGAGGGAATTACATGCCATGCAAACACAAACAGCCTGATAGTGATGGCCATTTTGTTTAGGCTACCCTTGGCAAACAATGTATGCACACATTGTTTCAGCATTACATTTTTTGTATTGATCTCTCTCCTCCTCGCAGTGCAATAACTTAAACGGTCCGTGCTTCGTTTTTATTTTTTTGTGGATTATGTATTCATTGTATATACCAAAAATGGTAATTCACGCGGAGACAAGTAGATTCAGGAAGAGATTGCCGTTTTTTTTTTTTTTTTTTTCTAGCGTTGCTCATAATTGCTTCTCAGTGGGATACCTGTTGTGCCTTCAGCGTCATCAGGGTTTACATTGTAAAGTAAACAGCAGCAACAACAACGACGACGAGCGTCAGCGAATAACCAACAAGACAAACAACAAGAGATAATGTATGCAATCCATATATCCTTTAAATATGCAAGCTTCAACCAAAATCTGAATAATAATTCAAGACCAACGACACTGTTCTTTGAAATTCCTATTCTGCTTGTTTTGCTGTCTTGGGAAATCGTTTAGCTTCTAACCAACCGTATTTATTCATCTGAATATTTCTCTGAATGACAAATGGGTCCAGCATCATAATTACATTTGCATACCGTTGAAGAAGACGTCCTTCGGACAGGCTAGCCGAGCGCTGAGTGTGTTTTGTGTGAGAGCGCGGCCATGAGGAGACACACAGTCATCAGGGTAGACGACCCTGCATCTTCTAAAGGCTTAACCGCAAGCATTTCTAGTAGGAAGGATGAGTGGCAATGATTGGAGCGGCGAAACAATTATTATATATTATATTATATATTATATAACCAATATTTTATTTTATTTACATCACCACCCAATACTGCTTTTCTTTCTCTCTCTCTCTCCTAATTGTTTTATGTTGTTCTTCACATTACTGTAAATTAAATTTATGTCGTATGTTTATATTTAGGAGGACCACTTGACAAGCCCTTAGGGTTTTTTTTGGTTGCACATTCCTGCACATTTGCTTTATCTACTGTCTAATTTCTTTGTATGTTTTTTTGTTGTTCAACTTTTTTAATATTGCTGTTTTATATATCTTTCATGTGCTAATCAATCAATCAATCAATATTAGGCTATAAGGAAGGGAACTTTTGCATGTGACTGATCGGCTTCAGAGGTGGCACACTTTGACACTCTCACATGACATTAGTAAGGGAGCGTCACCAATTTGCATGTGAATTAATATAAAGATCGGACGGTGAACATTTCATCTGTTAAGAGACTGAAAACCTCTTCCTCACGTTTAGTCAGCCACACATGTGCAGTGTGGTGTATTTTTGGGCTGGTCTGAACAGCAGGACCGTCCCTGAACCCACTTGGAGTCTTCCCTCTGTCTTTAGTTGAATGTTTCATGTTTAAAATGTAATAATCACCATCAAGTTTATTGTTAAAAAAATGCTTTAATTGGTCACCAATAGGAGTCTGTGTTTCCTAGCTATGTATCGCTTGCAGCAAAGAAACCGCATGAAGGTTTCCCAACACCATGGAACAGCTTGGGTCTTTTCATTTAACAAATTATTAATTAGCTTAATTTTGCCGTTTAGCTATTTTAGTATTTCTAGTAAACACATGGTTTATCTATGGCACACAGTGTTTACTCAACTAAAAAACAGCTTAATAGTGTCGGTTCACACGACGAAGACGAGTCAAAAGACCTCACAAGGACGTGGCTTTATGAATTCATACCTGTGACCAACTCTAATGCAGCGTTTTTTTAAATCTCCATTCATATTGCTTGACATTTTATAGCAACTTTCTGAAGACTAATGTCAACATGCGGTGTAGGAAGTGGCAGATTGCCGGTAAAAGGTTAATAGGATGTGAGATCACAGCAGTTTGACTGCTTTTATCAGCTGGCCTTTCACAGCTGCTCAGATCACCTCGTTGCTTCTGTGTGTAAGTACATATATATGTGTGGCTATAACTGCATATATATATTGTGTGTTTGTGTGCGTGTGTGTGTATGCATGCGTTTCAGTGTGTGTTACGACCACTGCCACTGAATGTGTGTGTATACACACACACACACGTCTGCATGAGTTTGTGTTACGACCACTACCTGTGTGTGTGTGTGTGTTTATGTTCCCTTGACCTTTTCAATGTAAGTTTTGGGTTCTTTGAAGTGGCAGTCACACACACACACACACACACACATGGGGTGAGGGAGAGAGCTATAGACAGCGGGAACGAGAGAGAGTAACTACAGGAAATAAACCAGTTCACCGGTGGTCATAACAACATGTTGTCCTTCTAGAGGTGAAGTATATACCTGCAATAGAAAAGCACATGACACTAATTCTTATTGATTATATGATCTGGATGAACGGCTGGGAAAACATGAGGCGATCCTGCTTTTTGTGCTTTTAAAAGCCTGCACTCTGGAGAAGAGTAACTACTTTTACTTTGAAGGCTACTCTCCAGTGTGTCCTGAGAAAAGTAGTGAGCTGACTGTTTAGCCGCCTGTGTGTACCATCCTTAACAATTACGCACCACTTAGGTTGCACTTATTGTCTGAGGAAAAGTCGGTACGATTTAACGAGGAACATACACAGGGCAATTTTTGAAAGTCGTGATACGGTTTCTTGTCTTAAAGACCCTGTAAAGCAAATGCTGAGATTTGTTTCTGAACACATTACATGTTAGAAAGTCGTTGTCATGAAAATTGTGGCGTTTTTCTATTTTTCACCATTTTTGCGTTCTGGATTTTAACCAGAGTGCAACCAGAGTGCAGTCATGCTCTGCATTTGACATAAACAAAAGTGAATGTAGGCTTACAACTGAGTGCTTAGCTTGCACTTCCTGCCTGGCGGACGACCAATCGCGGCACAGAACCTCTAACTATTAATATCGTACCAAGAAAAAAGAGAGACAAGTTTACATTACCTGACCATTTTTCTCGTCAGCTGAACAAACTAGCTGCTGGGCAGCAGCCGAAAAGGTTTTGGGTTCAAATCCCAATGTCGGCAGTCTAACCTGTAGGCCTCCTTGAGCAAGATGGCCCCCTCGCCCCTCACCTGTTCCTCAATTAACAGGTAGGGGTTAGGTCAGATTCACTGTAAGTCACTTTGGATTAAATGCATCTGCTAAATGACTCATTTGAACATACTGTAGGTAACATATGCTGTTAGGGATGGGAATCGAAAACCGGTTCTTGTTGAGAACCGGTTCCCAGTGTTTCAATTTCTTGGAATCGTTTGCCAATGTTGCAATCGATTCCCTTATCGATTCCAGTGGACGCGAATGACGTCACCACGCACGTTGCATAGCGACGCCAGTCAACAGTAACCATGGCGCCCAAACGGTACAAACGCTCGAGAGTTTGGTTACACTTCACAAGAAAAGACGACAACAGGGCAACTTGCAAAACTTGCAGCAACGTGGATATTTCCTCAAAGGGAGGAAATACTTACCAACATGCAAAAAACATTTGCGCACACAAGCATGCGATAACGATTTCTGAATGTCGTGTTTTCGATCCGCTCCGGACTAAACTAAACAAAGATGATGCTAATCGACCCGTTTGTTGTCCTTTTTTTCCAAATGAGAATCGATAAGAGAATCAATAAGAGAATCGATAAAGCACCGATTCGTTAAGCAGAATCGAAAATGGAATCGGAATCGTACAAATCTTATCAATTCCCATCCCTAACATATGCTGTATATTGGACTGTTTTCAAACGAGTTACTTCGTCTTGGCTCACATGTTGTTATTTAATGGGGGATCACCGGGGGGGTCAAGTGGCAGACACAGCCAAAAGGAAAGTCAGAAGGAAGGTACGGCTTTTAGCGGCGCGCCTCCGACTCCGAAGTGACCGAGGGGACGTGACTCGGTGTGCGATGGCAGCGCGCCACAGAAGACGGCCATCCATATTTCATTCCCCGCTCCGTGACAAAGGCCACCGCCGTGCTATACATAGCCCCCTCGAAGTACCCTTACTTATTCACAAACAGCACAGACGGCGTCGTATCTATGGGTGGGAACGCGCGAGTGGCGGCGGACCCTTTCTGGAGAATGAAAATAGAAAAAAAACAAAACTGTTGGACTGAGTCAGAACGGCACTTCAGGAGCTCTCAGATGCCTGAAAGTGACAAGAGATGGATGGGCAAAGGGAAATGTGTGAAAAGAAAAGGGCATTTCTTGGATTTGAGAGTAGGAGGAGATGCATAGATAGACAGAGAGAGAGAGAGAGAGAGAGAGAGATGGATGAAATACAACCGTCTTCTTGACGTTTCAACAATGATTTTCCTCCTAGATGTGTGTTTGACTTTTTCAAACGCTAATATTTCTCGACATCGGCTTTCTTCTTGTCATTCGACGGGACGAGGTGGTGTTATCTGGGGGGGGGGGGGTGCACGCGCGCGTGCGCGTGTGTGTGTGTGTGTTTATGTGTGTGTGTGGTGCTGCAGGAACTAGGCCATAGAGGAGGGTTGCGCTGCGGTTGCACTGCGTGATCCACACACACATCCTTTTTTATAATTCAGCAGATGAAACGCACAACGAATAACGTATGACTTTCCGCTTTTATTTCCTTTTTTTTTGCGTTGAGATTTGAAACGGCGGTTTTTCTATATAGTACTATCGTGTTGGCCTTGATATTCCTTGGATATCCTTGGAAGACCGTAGGATAGTCTTGATGGTTATGATGGTTAAAAGTCTCGGCTAAATGACCAAACAGTAGACCGTTTAACGCTTTTTCGGCAGTGACACCAGAGATGCTATTTTAGGAATCGCATCCATCCTGGCGTTCCCAACGGCGTGCGCTGCACTAGAGGACACATACGTCTGATTAGCCGCACCTCTGTCTCGTTTTTATCATCTCGTTATCGACATGTAAATGTTTTCGGGATTTCACGGTGGCTGTCTGGAGTCTGACATGATGCTTAGTCCCCTCTGTGCCTCCTCTCCCCTCCCCTCCTCTCCTCGTTTCACTGTGATCTCCTCCTGTCCTCCTCTCCTCGCTCGTCCTCCTCTTCGTACGCAATCTATCTCTGTCCACTTCCCTCGCTTCCACTATCATTTTACCTCAAATATGCTTTTTTTATCCTCTTTTTTTTTGCCGTCTCTTACCCAGGATGCTTCAGTGCCCTCTGCACTCTCTCCCTGCTGTATCTCCCCCTAGCTCGCTCGCTCTCTCTCTCTCTCTCACTCTCCCCCGCTCTCGCTCACGCTCGCTCTCTCTCTCTCTCACTCTCCCCCGCTCTCGCTCACGCTCTCTCGCTCTCCCGCTCTCTCTGTCGCTCTCTGTCACGGCGTTACCTCTCTCTCTCTCACTGGCTCTCTCTCTCTCTCGGTCCCACTGCCTGCTCCCTCTACCTCTCGCTCTCTTTTTCTCCCTCTCTCCCCTTAGGTCTCTCTTTCTCTCTCTCTCTCTCTCTCTCTCTCTCTCTCTCTCTCTCTCTCTCCCTCTCTCTCTCCCTCTGTGTGTGTGTGTGTGTGTGTGTGTCCACGCTCGCTCTCCTACTCTTTTCTCTCTCTTTTTTTCTTTTTGCATCAAATTTCTGTCATAATCTCCGCTCTCCTTCCATGCCGTTTTCATCCATCACCTCCCCAGCTTCAATTTCCTTCCCCATGTTTTTTTCCTCTACCGCAACCGGAGCTGTGATACGCCGCCCTCCCCTCTCTATCGCTCCATCTCTCTAGCGCTCCCCCCCCCTCCTCACACTCGCTCACTTTCTCACCTCAGTCTACTCCCTCCCTCCTCTGACACCTCTATTTCTTTGTATTTTTCTGTTAACCCTCCTCTCGCTCCCCTCTCCATCGCTCTCTCTCTCTCTCTCTCTCTCTCCCCTTCTCTCCCTTGCTCTCTCCTCCTCTTACCTGTCATCCATGCCGTCACGACTTGCCTCCGCCCCGCGGTGTGACTTCTCCACCCCCCCCCCCCCCCCCCCCCACACACACACACACACCTCCCCTCCCTTCCCCATTGAGAACAATGACAAACATAATAAATCACAGAGGGAATCAGAGCTTGTTGCCCCCGGCGGCCATTTTCCTCTCCATTCATCTCCGCCTGTGGGCAGCATGTCCCTGCAGCAGCTGTCCCTAGCCATGTGATCAAAATATTTACTGAGGAAACGAAGAGAAGTAGAGATGAATACATAAATAATAATATAATAAGAATAATACAACATATAAAATGGCCATTCTTTAACTGATATAAAGATCAGTGGACAGTGGATATTTACTATATTAACAGATGTAAGGTGCCTGACATCGGACAGAATTGGTGTCAACTGGTTACATGTTTCCATCTTCAGTGTCACATGGCCTCCACTCCATTTTCCCCCGAACCAATCACTGAATCTAACGTCATTTTAAGGTCGATCCTGACGTGCGTCGCCATGCCAACATACCGGTTTCGCCAGGGAAGACGCGCCGCGACGTACCTCGTTTTTGGACGGCCTCGCTAGCGGCGTCTTCCTTGACCGGCGTTGATATCACCCCTCCTCGGTTTGCGGCGCACAGCTTGACAACAGCTTGACCCCGCGGCCCTGATTGGCTGATGGTTAATCCCCCCCCCCCCCCCCCCCCCTCCCCCGCGGCGCTCATTGGATAATCACTTTTTCCGAGAAATCGCAGTTTCGTGTCACAATGCCAGGCCAGAAGCAATCATCTCTCCAACTCGGTGTGGAGTGGGCGGATTCAAAGGTCTCTTCCCCATGTGCTGCGTCAGCCACACATTTCTAGTGTCATTTTTTTTTTTTTTAACAGCAATATCCGTTACCTAATGTTTTGTCCATTAGATAACGGACGGACACGGACAAACAAACAAACAGACAGACACGAGGCATGAGGACAGACAGACAGGAGGGAGGAAGAGGTCGTCATTACAGCGGTGGTAAAATCCTTCAGTATCGATATGTGTGTGTGTGTGTGTGTGTGTTTTGTGTGATAGGAGTGCCAATTTGTTGTGTTGTTGTTGTTGTTGTCGTCCGTAAAAACACCAAGTATTGAATGATGAAGTGCAGACCTTTACTCCCCTAATACCGCCGATACGCACCGAGCTGTCAGCCACCGAAAACCACTTCCGCCGGTTTTTTTCGCCGGCGCTCCCATTGGACGCCTGCGACGTCTTAATGGCTATTAGCATAATAACATGTCAGCTATATAAAAACGCCTTAGTGCTGCTGACACTTAAATGACCTGACAGTCGATAGCTTGTTAGCGTTAGCGCCTGTAGTCCTCTCTTCCCCCCCCCCCCCCCCCCCCTCCCCCGGCCTGTCTCCCCCCCCCCCCCCCCCTGGATGCTGAATAAGGACAAGCAGCAGAGTCCCAATGTCCAGCAGCAAATGAACTCACATGCCCATTCGACTTTACTCTCTCCCCCCCTCTCCTCTTTTTTTTTTTCATACCGGACAAGATTGAAATCGGAAAAAAAACCAAACTTGCCCACAAACATAAAACTAAACCGAAGCGCACATGTATAGAAATAGAAAAATCAAGAGGTTAGTTGGGGTCGGGGACAAGGCCGTTCTCTCTCCCCGCCGGGCGATGTTCCACGCTAGCGGGCATCCATATTGGATGTGCGAAGGCCGCCGAGTTGCGGCGGTATAAAGTTATGCTTACGAAGGGAACTGGGCTTTTCTAAGGGAGCATAGAATACATTTACAATGCGTTTCACTGTGGTGTGTTTTGTTGGTTTTTTCCTGTAAAAGGCTGCTCCTGCTTTATTACATTTTTTTTTTTTTTTTTTTTTGTATGATGAAATATTCAGACCCACGGGGGGAATGTGCCAGGTTGGAAATAAAACTACTGGTACTGTAATAACTGTCCATTATGCCGGCGTTGCGGTATTAAAACCTGCGCCGTGAAAAGTTGTTTGCTATAGCCCACATGACTACTGTTGGAAATTGATTTTAGAAAAGCAACATGGGTAATTGGGTATATGTTTTTTTTTGTTCAATAAAACTGACAAAAGATGGACATTTGGAGGAAACAAGAGCATGTGTTTTTTTTATGTGGTCA